TGCATGTGTTTTGTGAGATTGAGGAGGACTTTGTAGATCGGTGTTGGACATATGGGCTAATGTTGGACTTATGGACTTGGACTGGACTGCATTGGGACACTTTCTTAATGTGTACACTTACCCTTTATATAAAACTCTCTCTTATACACATCTGAGTTTCTGTGGATGTGTTTCTCTGTTCTGCCCAGCCTCATACAGTTGATTATGGGTGTATGGATAAGGAACACTCAGTGTGGGTGGCGGGGAAAACCTCATGGGGTTTGCCACTCAGCCAGGGATTCAAAGCACTGAATGAGCATGTGGAGGAAGGCTTCCCCTGCAAGGGAAACCTAGGGCCAAGGCATCTAAAGAGGACGTCACAGAGACATCCCAGAGCCAGCTGGGAATTCATCTTGCCCTGAGGGAGTCCCAGGCCCACCCCAGCACTGACACCCACCCTGGGAGGTTGTGAGGAAAAGGACCTTGTGCCGGGCAGGTTCGTGCCACCTGTTTCTCAGAGGGTCCTGGCCAGAAAGCCATTTATAGGCACAGCGGAGTCTGGGTGTAGGGATTTAAACCCTGAGAAGGTCCCGGCCCTGAGGGTTGACCTTGAGTAGCAAGGGTGGCAGAAGATGCTGATGTCTGATGGAAACCAAGAACGTCTGCCATTGTCTGCTTATGGCCTTGCAATTGAGAACCTCGACTCCTGGATCCGAACCGAGGCCCCTCGCTAGCCATGGCCCACGAGAATGAATCCGCGGAGACAAAGAACTGTCTCTTTGAACTTCTAAACCTCTCAGTCCACGTTATACCTCTTTCAGCTGAAGGCCTGGCCATGCAGGGTGGGGACATTTAGCAGTAAACCGAGATGGGGCATGACAGGGACATTGGGAACAATATGACACTGTGTGACAGCAGAAAGTGCATTTGCAGATGTTCTTCAGCAATCCAGGGCTGCCCAAGCTGGTTTTCAGGTCCTCCCGCCAGCCAGCTGGTCCAGACCCCCACCCCCTCCCCTAGTCACATGGATGGCAGTCCTGCAGGGCACAGCCACTGTTGCCGGGAGGGCCTCCCAGTGGGTGGGTCTGCAGCCAGCTGGAAGCACTCGGGGCCACCTGTCTGGTCAGGAGCCTCTCAACTGTGAGCCTCTTGGAGCTGGGGCTGGCTCTGTGGTCTCACTAAAGAGGCAGTGACATGCACCGGCTCCATTCCATTGTTTCTTCACACAGGGATGGGAGAGGAAATGTCCTTAGGACGCCAGGAGGCCTTTGAAATCTTCAAGCGGGACCACGCTGACAGCATTACCCTGGAAGACAACAAGCAGATCCTGAAACAGAGGTAAGGCCGGTCCTGAGAACAGCGGGTCTTCCCAGGCTTGGCCCGGCCAGCCTAGTGGAAAGCATGAGCCTCTGCATTATGTGGTCCACCCAGCCTCACTTTTGAAGGCAAGGCGAGGCAGCTGTTCGGTTCCGCATGTAATGGTGTCCAGCCAGACCCAACCCTCTTGTTGCCTATGTGGAAGCTTGTCATCCCCATACTATCAGGTTAAGCAACTTTTTAGTCCAAGATCCATCAGGGACAGCGTAGGCTTCT